TTATAAAAGTTGCTCTTCCAGTTTTCTTTAAAACAGAATGACTTTGAAAGTTGGCCCTTACATGTTACCCAGTGAAAAGAGTACAGTACCTGTTAGAATTGGGTTCAGGAGGCACTGGAGGAAACTTCAGAGAAGCTAGATGAACGAGCTGAAGATAACAGTTACATAATAAAGTTAATAGATGATATTTTTGCTAAAATATTTTATTTACTAGCCAATATTTATCCATCAGGCCCTCCACTCTCATAATTGAGCATTTTATGATATACGAAAGAAAGACCCTTCTCCATTAACTCTACAGATTAGTTGTTGAGTAAGGCATACATGTGAAACTTCCCATGTACCCTATTGAATAATTTTCCCATGTACCCTACTTCATCCTCATGTATTTACTTTCTGTCGTAAGAATGTGAAGATTTATCAGCATTTTGCATCATATCTGTGAAATGAGACTCTGAAGTTATATTCTAGAATTTGTCATATGCTCTTTCCTTTCTTATCTGTTCCCAGGCTTGGGTGCAACTGCCTTTGAGAGCTTTAACACTGGCACAGTTATTTATGTTCCGGATTCACAGGAGCTTAAGATCCTTGCAACTGCTCAGAGACCTCTATCTGTGACCGACTTAGCTACCCTTAAATGTATTAGCTGCTGTGCAAATCAGAATATTACTAAAAACCAGCAGTTTACATAGAGTTATTACATAATCCTCTGCTAAGCAGTTTTTATGCTATAACTGTGGGATTTTTTCATCTCTCCATGTAGGACATCTTAATATTTAAAATTGCTAAAGCAAAAGTTAAATACTGATTTACTTTTAACATATTCTAGGTCCACCTCCTTACATGATCTACCAATACACTCCTTTTGTATTGCAAGTTACATTTTCTTGGTCTTGTTTAAGATTGAGCACAACACTTGTAGCTTGCTATCAAAGAGCATCGCTTGCTCCTGTTGCCTGCAGGGAGCTGAGACCCGAGAACTGGCTCAAGGATGGGTGATTCACATGCATGTTCCTGTCTCTGTCCCCTTAGACTGCAGGGAATACCCACCTGCAGTCTTGAGGTATTTTCAGCACCATACATCCTGGATAATACGAGACAAGAATTAGGGCTGGGTGGTAAATTGGGAAGAAAACAATTCATTCTGGGGTAGGGTGTACCAGGAAAAGCTTTAGATAGCTGTAATAAATGTAAAGATAATCTTTCAGGCAAAATTGAGAAGGTATACGACCTAATAGAGAACATGAAAACTTGTTTCGTTCGTTGCTCTAATCTAAGCAATTGTCCCACTGTCGTTCTGTGTGTGTGTGTGTGTGTGTGTATATTTTATATATATATATTATATACATATATGAACACACATACACATATATACATACATATGTACACATATATAATTTACATGTATATACATGTACACATAATTTATGTAGTGTTAAAGCTACAGGGTCAAGATGAGTGATTTTCATATGTATATATGTGGGTTTTTTTGTTTTGGTACCGGAGATTTAACACAAGTCCTTCACCCTGCACTGCTTCTCCGCCATTTTGTTTTGAGTCACTAAGTTGCTCAGGCTGGCCTCAAACTTGTGAGCTACTTGCCTCAGCTTCCCAGTCCTAATATATGTGTGTGTGTGTGTGTGTGTGTGTGTGTG